ATATTCTAGTTCTCATACTGTCCTTCGATGACAGATTTTTATAAAGTTTAAATATATGTATATTTCATGTCTAATTTCTCGTCACGATATGGCTGAAATATTGCCGATGTGACGTAAAGCATTACCTCACTCACTCACTTAATCCAGATGACTATGCAAGAAAGATGGTAGACTCAAACCCAAATGACTTCTTGTCTGAAATCAAATTGGACGAAGTGACATATGATCAGTAGCACAGAGGTGTTTTCCAGATGGTAAAATTCTTGAAAAGAAGCTGAGCAAATTAGAGTTTTGTATGCTCGTACACAACCAAACTACCGAGTTTCTGGAACATGTATCAAGGATCAAAGGGCAATATTAAGGCATTCAAGGATCTCAAGGACAATCTCCCAGAGCATCACGTGATTGTGTTAATGGATTTTGCGGAAACCTTCTTGCTCCAGTGATGATGAAGTGCTGAGTGCGTACTGGAATGCATGTGCTGTAACCCTACACCCTGTTGTGATGTATTATAGGTCAACTTCCACTGAGCTGCTTCACAAGAGCTATGTATTTGTATCAGATGATACTGGGCATAATGCTGGGAGTGTCTATGCCTTTCTGAAGCAGCTGATTCCTAGAATACAAGAGGATGTAGGTGTTGTCAAAGTGGGTGCACTACTGGACTGATAGTCCGTCCTCACTGTACAGGAACAAGACTATATTCTACGTTTTGTCTGACCACAAACACCTGCTCGGCATTCCAGCAACCTGGAACTATTTTGAGTCCGGACATGGTAAAGGTCCCTGTGACGGAATTGGAGGGACTGCCAAAAGGATGGCAGATCTTGCAGTTCGCCAGAAAAAGTGTACCATACAGGATGCAGGAGAATTCTTCAAGTGGGGAACTCAGAACCATACCAGCTCAACTTATGTATGTATTAAGAGTCAGGACATTCGCAGTGTGAGGGGAGAACTTCAAGAACTCATAAACGGTGTCCTCTAAAGGGACAATGAAGTTCCATGACGTTCATGCTGAATCACAAGGAACAGTTCTCACACGAACACCATCTTGCTATTGCTCGCTGTGTTTGAAAGGGTATTATCACAGCGACTTGACAGCATCACAGATTTTGAAGGCAGCAAAACCACCTGAACTTGAACTGACTATTTCTCTGGAAGAACCAGCTGACACTGAAACAGAAGTTCCTGCTGACCCTCTGGAAGAACCAGCTGACACTGAAGCAGAAGTTCTTGCTGACCCTCTGGAAGAACCAGCTGACACTGAAGCAGAAGTTCCCGCTGATCCTCTGGAAGAACCAGCTGACACTGAAGCAGAAGTTCCCGCTGATCCTCTGGAAGAACCAGCTAAAACTGAAGCAGAAGTTCCTGCTGATCCTCTGGAAGAACCAGCTGACACTGAAGCAGAAGTTCCTGCTGATCCTCTGGAAGAACCAGCTGACACTGAAGCAGAAGTTCTTGCTGATCCTCTGGAAGAACCCGCTAACGGTGAAGCAGAAGTTCCTGCTGATCCTCTGGAAGAACCAGCTGACACTGAAGCAGAAGTTCCTGCTGATCCTCTGGAAGAACCCGCTAACGGTGAAGCAGAAGTTCCTGCTGATCCTCTGGAAGAACCAGCTGACACTGAAGCAGAAGCTCCTGCTGATCCTCTGGAAGAACCAGCTAACACTGAAGCAGAAGCTCCTGCTGATCCTCTGGAAGAATCAGCTAACACTGAAGCAGAAGTTCCTGCTGATCCTCTGGAAGAACCAGCTAACACTGAAGCAGAAGCTCCCACTGATCCTCTGGAAGAACCAGCTCATCCAGAAGCAGAAGCAGGATTGTAAAAAGTGTTGGTGACTTCGTTGCAGCTTTGTATCAACAGACCAGTGAAGACCTGGGGTAGAATACGTCTTCAGCAACCCATGATTGCCGTAAAAGGCGACTATGCTTGTCGCAAGAGGTGACTAACGGGATCGGGTGGTCATGCTCGCTGACTTGGTTGATGCATGTTATCGATCGAAATTACAAGGATCGATGCTCATGATATCAATCACTGGATTGTCTTGTCCAGACTCGATTATTTACAGACCGCTGTCATATAGCTGTTATATTGCTGTGGGCGTTAAACAACAAACAAACAACATATCCCGAGCCATGTGGTTCGAGACATTAAAATGTTAGATAGTATTGGTGAAATTAATTGTGTAATAACTTTAGACAAGTTCCTAGCATAAAACTCATTTTTGGGACAAAATATTAAGCCATTATACAACGGTCCGCCGTCATATAGGTGGAATACTGGTGATAGTTGCGATGCACAACAAATAAACATTCTCAATGTACATTATATTAAACCTTCATTAAAGGATTTACTGCGTATCTTTTTCGGTTCATCGAGGTATGAATCGGAAAACCGGTGTGCAAACTTTCGTAAGAATTCCCTTTGGGTTTTCGATTCATACCTCAATGAACCGAAAAAATACACAGTCAATCCTTATAATTAAATTCGTCAACGAAAGCATGTGTTATCTACAATAGTTTAACCAAAAACAGTTGCACATATCAAAGCAGACAAAACTGAATGATTGATAAATATTCCAGGTGTAGGAATACATATTTTGGCGTAACGTGAATCAGGTAATTGTTTAATTTATGCACATAAGTTGACACGCCCACATAGTAGCCAATCAACGGAGAGTAGGATCAAAACAAGGACCTGTCAATCAAGGCTAGAGGAGAGAAGAACTGCAACAGTCACACTGTAACAAACCGGAACAAATATGTCCTGGAGAAGGCGGCTGTTTCAAATGACATGGTCAGTTACCGTCAGATTCAAACATTAGTTCCATGAGAATAGGAAGACATAGTTGGAAGAAGGCTGGTTAGAAATGAAACCCGAGGACATGGAATTTGTGGAACCCAGGCGAGCGGGGGAATAACAGGCGAGCGAGCCTGCACGTTTGCTGTTTCTTTCCATTGGATTTCCGTCTCGAGGGTAGTTTGGACATTGGATATGTATGAATTTCGCTAAATGTCCTGTGCATAACGATACACGTGAGCAGAAAGAGAATTCCCTCAACTATAATATTGGGATTCACCGACATTCTGTAGTAATAAAAGTAGTATGCCTCGGTGGGCGTGGCTTAAGTCTTTACATTCATTGGAAAATGAATGCAATAACACGTGACCAATTCAGCTAATCAGAAAGCAGGAATTAAATGAACACAACGAAAATTTAATTATTTGTTTACATAACATCATGTGTGCATCGTTTATGAATTCAGAATCTTACCCATTTTGTATCATTGGTTTAAAGAGAATATTAACCTCATTCAACTGATTGAAAAACACATTAAAGATATTCACCTGATATGTTTTTGGCATGTCGTGACAAACAACAAAGAATTGTGTATCTATCACACCAACAAGTCGGATAAAGTTTGATAATCCCTTGTTGCATGCGCGTATTTGGCGTCGTTGCCCTGATGTCATATTGCATTATACTACATCCATACTAGATCAATATGTCCTCAACAAGACAAACTTGAGTCACAGTTCCCATCACAGAAAGTGAGAAGTTCCTGGTGGACACAAACTCCGATTTCTTATAATTTGCAAAGGCGCCTGTGTACTTAACAGTGAAACTTTTTGTAGAACTTGGGGTTGAAAGACACCACAAGATTTGTGATTTCGCATTACCTGTGCATAGATCAGAGACAAAGTCCATTGCGATGATAGAGGTCACAAGCTCCGTGATGCTCAATGCTTTCACTTTTGTCCCATCATCTTTTGGAGAGTAATAAATATGTTGAGTTGGTTTGTCATTGTGGATAAGCCTAATGCTTGAATTCGATTCAAGAATTGTTTTCATGAAACGTCCGCTGTAGAGGCAGTGTAGCTTGAGTTGGTTGTTTGGTTGGTTTGGTTGGTTTGTTGTTTTACACCGCGTTCAGCAAAATTCCAGCTATATGACGGCGGTCTGTAAATAATCGAGTCTGGACCAGACAATCCAGTGATTGATATGAGCATCGATCCACGCAATTGGGACATGATGACGTGCATCAAATCACTAAGCCTGACCACCCGATCCCGTTAGTCGCCTCTTACGCCAAGCATAGTCGCCTTTTACGGCAAGCACGGGTTGCTGAAGACCTGTTCTACCCCGGATCTTCACGGGTCCACTAGTTATTGAGCCATATAACGACAAATAGAAGCTGTACTTTAATGAAGAGCTTGTGCAGTAAAACTGCAACGTGAATATATCAGGTCCAACACTAATAATACTAGTCGTATACAAAGACAATTTGTCCAGACAACTGTTTCGTATTTAACGGTTCGCCCCGATTATGTTTCTAGGTTTGTCAGCACCATACCCGTGCCCGTGGGTTCCACCGAAGTGGTAAACGTCTGAGACCTGAATCACTTCGGGCTTTCCTCCCACATTAAGCTGACACGCCGTGATATTACTGGAATACTGTTAAAAGCGGCGTTAAATCCAACTCATTCACTCACTCACTTTATTTAACGCCGCACACAGCAATATGATGTCGGTCCGAAAATAATCGAGTCTGGGCCATCATGAGCATCAATCTACGCAATTGGTATACTATGACATGCACCAACTAAATCATAGATCCCGTTAGTCGCCTCTTACGTCAAGCATGGGTTGCTGAAGATCTTCACGGATCCAGACAACTGTATGACTGTATGAACTGAAATGATATCACGTAATATTCAGACCACTTTGGTCTATTCTAAAAAAATATCTTGAGTCCATCCCTTTCCCCGCCCTCGGAATTTTAAATGGTCGGCCCCGAGGCGTCGTGACATTCGAATCGCGCTACAGTACGAAACGGTCCAGGGTATTTATATTTATCATAATGGTATGGAGACATAATGCCCTGAATAAGCGAGGATGGCATACTAGGTTTAACGATATGAAGTGCTCTACATTTCATTACAATCAAATAATACTGTAGGCACGTGTGACACCAATAAGATTATCCCAAACACTCCTCGAACCGAGATAAGTGTTAGTGAGGTTACAAGGCTCAAGATAATGTACAATATTCTTAACGCAGCCTTTTTAGTCTGAACAAGCACTAGTCCCTGTCATTATATGTAAGTACACTGACCTGAACAAAACATTTTTTATGAATGTGTTTCATAATATATTTAAGTTTTTGGCTTGTATTCGTTTGTTTGTGTATTACTAAGTCACATTGAGTTGGTGTGTACAGACTATCCCTTAATGAAAGAGGTTTAAAGCAAAAACGCAAAACGTTTGTTGCTGCTTTGAAGAGTATTCTAGTGTTGCCTCTAGTGTTGCCTTAAATATATATAAAAAAACGAAAAAAAGAACCCTTTTTTACTCTTCGTCGTAAACGACCGGGCCATCTCCGTGGAGATTTTCTAGATTTTTTCCGTTTTAAGATATATTTCAGTTTTTGTTAAATGTTTTATCCGTTTCTTGGATTTTTCAGTGTCAAGTGTACGCACAATGATTCTGAAGTTAACTGTCTTCGTGGCCTTGGCATGTGTGACCCTGGCAGCACCAGTACGAGGTACATTTAAGCTTGCACATGTAAACCACCTACACAATAAATACGACTCTATGTATTACTGCTTGTTCTGCGATGTTTTCTGGTGAATGAGGGGCGGTTGGGTAGCCCAGTGGATAATGCGTTCGCTCGTTACGCCGAAGACCCGGGTTCGATTCCAACATGGGTACAATGTGTAAAGCCCTTTTCTGGTGTCCTGCGCCATGATGTTGCTGGAATATTCCCCAAAGCGGCGTAAAACCATTCCCAATCACTATGGTTTAAGGGCACGGGTGGCCCAGTAGGTAATTCGCTGTGCAGTGTCATGTCCCTTAGGCATAACTGAAACCTATCCCCGTGGGTTCGAATTCCAGATTCGCCCTGATCATGAAACTAGGTTTGCCAGATCCACACCAGTGCTCAAGTGGTAATCGTCACTTCACTGCATGCTCAAGATTTATTTTAAAATATTATTCGACCCGTGAAGATCCGGGGTAGAATGGGTCTTCAGCAATCCATGCTTGCCGTAAAAGGCGACTATGCTCGTCGTAAGAGGCGACTAACGGGATCGGGTGGTCAGGCTCGCTGACTTGGTTGATGCATGTCATCGATCCCAATTGCGTGGATCGATGCTCATGATATCCATCACTGGATTGTCTGGTCCAGACTCGAGTATTTACAGACCGCAGTCATATAGCTGAAATATTGCTGAGTGCGGCGTTAAACAACGAACTCACTCACTCACTCACATCAAAATATTATTCAATCACAGGTTAAACATCTTTTTCCATAGCAAAACCGTAAAATGCCATAACTTCACTCTTTGACTGTAAGAGCATCTGTACCCTAGAAAATGATAAGATTGTTAGTATGCACTATTGTCTGTGGTCAACCATAAACCATCAACTGTTGTGTTTTGAACACAGACCAAGAAGACCAACTGCCGATTCCGCTCAAGTTTAACCCTATCTGGGCTTCCCTTGCTGCTCTCTTGGAGAACTTCACACCGCTGCCTACATTGGTTGTTCCTGACAAACAGTTGCTGGGAAATACGGGAACTGGGCCCATAGTGTAGACATGCTCTCACAGTGGGGATGATTTATACTGGAAACACTGCAATAGTGCAAGTGACTGAAGGACCAGCGTTGCGGCTACTCATTTAAAGGCTCCAGTACAGGCAGGAATTCTACAATTAAATAATTCCTAATCATCAAGCGACCTTTGCGTTTATTATTTCCCGCCATGACTGTCGGGTAACGGAATTGAGTTCAGTCCGTTGAGTGTCCGTCATTTCGTGGAGGGACGTTTCCTCAGAAACAGCCTTGGAAACAAAGGAAGCATTTTGTATCCTTCGTTGAGGGTTAAATGGGTTAAATCGTTGAGGGTTAAATCGTTGAGGGTTAAATGGGTTTAATCGTTAAGGGTTAAATGGGTTAAATCGTTGAGGGTTAAATCCAGCATCGAGAATGAACATTTATGGCTGTTTTATCTTTGGGACATGGTGCACAGTTCAACCAATGAGAACATTTTTTCAGCGAAACCACTATCGATGACATTAAATACATCATTATGTTGTTTGTTTGTTGTTTAACGCCGCACCCAGCAATATTCCAGCTATATGACGGCGGTCTGTAAATAGTCGAGTCTGGACATGACAATCCAGTGATTTACATCATGAACATCCATCCACGCAATTGGGATACGATGACATGCATCAACCAAGTCAGCGAGCCTGACCACCAGATCCCGTTAGTCGCCTTTTACGACAAGCATAGTCGCCTTTTACGGCAAGCATGGGTTGCTGAAGACCTATTCTACCCCGGATCTTCACGGATCGAATAATATTTTAAAATAAATCTTGAGCATGCAGTGAAGTGACGATTACCACTTGAGTGAACCCCACGAACACTGGTATGACATTCCCGTCTACAAAGATTGCCCCTTCTCTCCACCGCTGTCTCGCTACTATGCAGGATAGTACATTCGATGTTTACGAATCTGCTGGCCGCTGTTACATATTGAGATAGTAGAATTCACTAGACTTTTTTCTCAGTGCAATCTTCTTGACGCTGTGTCTGCGTCGCAGTCCCGTCAACTCAGATGAAGCCACCTTCAGGAAGTGGTAGCACAGTTGTCGCCCCCGAGGGTGGATCAAGCATTATTGAAAGGGAGGGGTCCAAAAACGAAAATCCTCACTGTCAGTTTTACTGCCTTCGACGAACTACATTGGGTATTACAAAATTCCAAAAGGGGTTGGGTCGGTGGTGTATGGCCTGGACCCCCTGGACACCCCGCCGTTTTACATGAATACCCCACTCAGACACAGTATACTCCGAGCCGACCAGTCCTTGTTTAACTCCTTAATGCCGAGAGCTAGACAGGGTAACAAGTACAATCTTTTAACGTCTTTCGGTATCGGGTTCGAAACCCAGACCTTCCGCTCTCCGGGGAACATTCCACGGGTCTGTAAAAGTTACACATAACCAAATGTTTTCCCATAGACTTCTATAGTAACTTTCTCTTTTAAAACTAGGCATTCAACAGCCATTACATTTACATATATGGACAGTCTGGCCTTAAAGCTGCAATAAAAAACACAAATTTTGGCTAGGTTAGCCAGCTCCCTTTCCGAGTACAGGAAGCTGAACACACCATCCCCAGTTCCGCACCAAATGCCACCTACTTGAAAATATATGTGCTCACATAAAGCACAAGTAATCTTGTAAAAAAAGTCAGCACCAAATATTGATAAATATGGGCAGTTTTAACTACTGGATGGATGTACATTTAAAAGACAAAAAAATCTTACACAATATCATCCAATCACAGCCTGCAGTCGCTCTTGATCTGCACTGAAGGCTACGATAACCGCACTGTCACAACTAGTTCTGATTTAGTGTAGTAGAACCTGTAGACTCGAAAATGAAGCATTGGAGATTTAAATTGGAGATTACATGTTGTTTTTGGTACAAAAGAGTAATCAATGGGCTTACGTTGAAAGACATATAAATTGCGTCATGCAAGATTAAATTGACACGATTTAATTATCGCATAAAGGAAAACAGAGATTACTTGACGTGTGCTATATTACGAAGTATGAATTCGGTTCTTATCCTTATCGTCAACCAGCGACAGAAGAACACACACATGTAAGTTGTTCTGTGAACCAAACAGCTTTCCATGATCCACGCATTTGTTCTCATATACGTACTGGTAATGAATTTCAATTTTCTATATTGTAAACTGTTCAAATAACTCTGCTGTGAAGATCCGGGGTAGAATAGGTCTTCAGCAACCCATGCTTGCCATAAAATGCGACTATGCTTGTCGTAAAAGGCGACTTACGGAATCGGGTGGTCAGGCTCGCTGACTTGGTTGATGCATGCCATTGATCCCAATTGCGTGAATCGATTCTCATGATGTCAAACACTGGATTGTCTGGTCCAGACTCGATCATTTACAGACCAGACCGCCGTCATATAGCTGAAATATTGCTGAGTGCGGCGTTAAACAAAAAAACCAACCCCAAAACAAATCAAAACTCGATTGTATTTCTTGTTGACATCAGTCATTGTTCGAGTTCCACTCAAACAAGGACAAACATCAACAAAAAACATGATTACATAATTTATGTCGAATATCTGAGAGTCGATTTAAGCTGAACATTAACAAAAACACCAACGAACAAATTTCTTTAGGCTTGGGGTGTTATTTATTTGGACGGCCAGGGACAAGGGTATTTATGATATGATGGAGATATAATGCACTGGAATATCGAGGATGGATTGAATCTAATGTTTGTGTTTCAGCATCAACAATGATTGTGAAGTTGGCTCTGTTCATCACGCTGGTATGTGTCACCCTCGCAGCGCCAGTGCCAGGTAACTAACTCACAAGTGTTGAAACAGATGGCCACTTTCTACACATTCTACACCGCCGTGATATTGCTGGAATATTGCTAAAAGCGGCGTAAAACCATACTCACTCACTCACACATTCTGCAAGGAATGCTTCAGAGCCATGTCGTTACAATAATCCCGAGGCCGCTTTGTTACGACCCCTAGTATGCCCCTGACCGTTAGTGTTACTATGAACCAGATAATCCAGTGATTGACATGAGCATTGATCCACGCAATTGGGAAACGATGACATTCATAAAACAAGTCAGCGAGCCTGACCACCCGATCCCGTTAGTCGCCTCTAACGTGACTTGGTTTATATTCATATAATAAGAGTAATAAATAGCCACAATTAACCAGCCCCGTCAGGATTTATTATTTGTTTTGAGAACAACTCGTCTCCCTCCGGGTCTATGACTATAATATGTTACGTATGAGACATTTGGGACTGGGAAATTCGTTTGACGCACGTCAGGTTGAGGTCAAGGTAATTGAAATGTCACTCGTGTGTTAATACCTCGTTACCAATTTTCCGAGAAAATCGTTATTTCAAATTTCACGACACTTGGTATATATCGTCTCTACACTAAGGTTGCAAACCCAGTAACTTGACGGAAATCGGTCCAACGTTCAAGGTCGAAACTTTCGGGAAAATCTTGTTACCAACTTTCCAAAAAATGGCAAATGCCATCTCTACAGTGAGGTTTCGAGCTCAATGACTTTTCACGTATTTGGTCTAAAGGTCAAGGTCACGCAGATGTCAACACTTTCGGAAACAATCACGTTGTTCAAACATTTTCTTTCTATTCACTAGGATAGTGTTAGTGCATGCCTATTTCTTTCAACAGACAATCCCGATAGCGATCACTTTTCTATTGTACTACATCTATGCCTTGAACTCGTGATAAGAAAGAAAGTCCTTTGCATACAAAGAAGAGAATTTTGACATCGTAGATCCTTTGTGTTATGTAATTCCACCAAACCAATGTTTTTCAACTTATTACATTTCCCAGAACAAGAAGACATTGACCTACAGGAGATCCTAAAGCACTTGCCTTCGCCATTTCCGCTCTGTGAAGCACTAGGCGCCTGCCGTAATCCTTTGTTAAGACCCATTATCGATAATGGTAACCTTGCCTAAAAACAAAGCATGCTCGTGGTTGTATGATTCTGTAAACCTTACAGATGTCATAAAAGAATATTTATTTGAAATGTTGTTTGTTTTGTGTATTGTTTAACGCCCCACTAAACAATGATCCAGTGACACGACGGCTTGTACAAGATCAGGACGACGAATGCCAATTGGTCGGTGAAGACCCGGGTTGGAATGGTATTCAGGAACATATGTTTGTCGTAAGAGGCGACGTTGCGTGTCGTAAGAGGCGACTAACGGGATCGGGTGGTCCGGCTGACTTGTTTAAAGTCTTCGTATATCAGTTGCGTAGGTCGATGATCATGATGTCAGTCACTGTATTGTCTCTTCCGGAGTTTACAGATACGGATTTACGACCCGTGAAGATCCGGGGTAGAATAGGTCTTCAGCAACCCATGCTTTCCGTAAAAGGTGACTATGCTTGTCTAAGAGGCGACTAACGGGATCGGGTGGTCAGACTCACTGACTTGGTTGATGCATGTCATCGTATCCCAATTGCGTGGATCGATGTTCATGATATCAATCACTGGATTGTCTGGTCCAGACTGAGCATGTGCTTATGAATCACTATCAAATAGTAATGATACCAGGGGTTCGCGAAAGGACCGTCCAAGAACAGTGACACCCCTAAAGACAACTGGACGGGCAGACAGGGATCTAGTCTTGTGAGGCGCCAATCCTATGTTACGAGTAAAGTACTGAAATAACAATGGCTTCCCAAGAGGCATCTGTCTATCAGAACTGTCCGAAACCGGCTAAACTCATTTGGGATGAAGTCACAAAGGGTCATCAGACTGCTCATCATCAGACACTTCGATGGGCTTGGTGTATGGCTCAACTTCATTGGCATCTGAGGACGTGGCGACGGATCCATTAGTCTGATGAAGAAGATTCTTGCTGCACGTCACAGACTGCGGGTTTGGAGACACAGAAACACTACGTATACCCCCATGGTACATTGTATCAGCACGTACGGTGGAGGCTCCGCCATGGTGTAAACTGGACATGGTAACTGTACGAGGTAATCTCAATGGCGCTCATACACTTACCACTCGACCTGTGCTCATAGACGACAACGCCAGACCCAATCGTTCGCCCTCTGAGACTGCAGTTGGGCAAGGACGCCTTGGCCCGCTGTGGGTCCAGATTTTAATGCACTGGAAAATGTTTGTGACATTCTTGGACGTCGGCTGCAGGCAATGGATTCAACAGTTACAGAATATGGTAGCTTTAGAGGCTGCATTGCATCGGGAATGACAGCAGTTACCTCGTGATCGTATCAGAAGACTCACTGGAGGAATGAGGAAATAGGTAGAACCTGTCATTCAGGAACAGGGCGGTTAAACTCGCCACTTATTTTTAGGTTAGTGATCATCTTTGTAAGATAACAATTAACGATTTTGGACAGTAGGCGTCGTTCATACCTGATCCTCGAACTTCTCTGATCTATATTTTCGTGGTGATCAATTTTGCCGTTATGTCGCAACTGTGATTTTAATGCAGTTAACATATTGCATGAGCGTTTCATCTTACACAAGACATTTAGTTTCGCAAAACCAGGGGTGCTTAATTAATTTCTAGGTGCATACTATCAGTAAAATTACTCTGACCAATACGACATCGTCACAAAATGTTGGGGCACGGGTGGCCCAGTCGTCTAAGGCGCCTCGATTCGCTATGCAGAGTTGCGTCCCTTGGGCACGCCAGAAACCTATGATTGTGGGTTCGAATCCTGATTCGCCCCGATTATGTTTCTAGGTTTGTCAGCACCATACCCGTGCTCGTGGGTTTCACCGAAGTGGTAAACGTAAGAGACCTGCATCACTTCAGGCTTTCATCCGACATTAAGCTGACACGCCGTGACATAATTGGAATAATGTTAAAAGCGGCGTTAAACCCAACTCACTCACTCACTCACAAAATGAACTCATCATGACCAGCAACCCAAGTAAGTATGACCTAATTTTCATTGATAGAATATATAACAGAGAACGAGAAAGTAGTGCCTTGCTGTAGCTCATCTGGATTTGTAGCCAACAGCTTTTATTGTCAACAAGACAGACACATAAAAAAAGTTGCTATGACCATTTATATTCAAATATCTTTTTCAGAATTAATTCTGAGGACGAAAGTTTTAGCAAACACAAAGACAAGTAGCCCTCTACAATACTTTTGAATCTGTAAGAATAAATGTACTTTTGTAGAACATTGTTCAATACCCCACATTTACATTTACTCAACACAAAGTTACAACTCTGACCACCATAAACCTTCTAAATGGAGTGAGTGAGTGAGTATGATCTTACGCCGCTTTTAGCAATATTCCAGCAATATCCGTGGGGGACACCAGAAATGGGCTTCAAACATTGTACCCATGTCGGGAATCGATCCCGGGTCTTCGGCGTGACGAGCGAACGCTTTAACCACTAGGCTACCCGACCGCCCCTCTAAATGGAGAAATGTTTCTGAAGCCATAAATTGGTTTTTAAACCCCCCCCCCCGAGTAAAATCCAACTCATTCAAACAAAATATGATGATGTAAAGGAGGAGAACAATTCATGGCAAAGTTCAGCATTTCAGAAGCCTTAATAGAGTCCAAACTGCCTTTTGAGAGACCTTATAGTGAGTGAGTGAGTGAGTCGAAAGCCAGGGATGCTTCTTGCAGTCACTGTTGCTGGCTGGAATCGATTTCGTAGGTGTGTTGTTCGAATCCAGTTGTCTTGTCGATTATTGGTTACGCGTGGCCTGCCACTCCGAGGATGGTCTCTGACTGCATTCGTCTGTTGCCAACGTTGCCTTTAACACCAAATGGTGTTTCTGTGGACGTTAAATTGTCTTGCAACATCACGTTGACTCGATCCTGCTTCAAGCATACCAATGGCTCGCGGACGCTCATTTTCGGACAGGCGTGGCATTTCGTAATGTTGATTAATTGCGTAATTTTGTTGTTTTTCGGAGTGGTTGTTGTCAGCACGATGCTAAACAATGCATATGGAATCCCGTTAACGCACATGTTTTTATACCAATTCTTGGGTAGTGAAATGCATGGGGCTTGCATAAAAGTCAACTTTTGCATGGAATGCATGCTTTTCTGTAGCAGTTGCGTTTTTGTGACTTGATTCCATACATGTACTACAATATTGAAAATCAAACTTTACTTGTTTGAAAAATTCACTAAAATACTGGTGTCACAGGAACGTTTGTTGATGATTTTATATCTGTGATAATCTACTTCTTTAACTGTCCTTTGTCGACAGGTGTTGTTTTTAGTCATTATGTATTTATTACTGTCTAAATTGTTCTCGTCAGGATATGGCTGAAATATTGCCGATGTGATTAACTCACTCACTCATACATATTGACCAAGCCGAGTCTTTACTACGTATCATTATAAGTATAATTGAATTTTCAATCATAATTGAACATGAGTGAGTGAGTGTGTTTAATCCGCTTTGAATTAAAATTTATTGTCAGTATTCTATCAGTGTCATCTGAAGTGGGAGGAAAGTGATGCAGGCCTCAGACATCTGCCCGAGGCAAGAGAGTTAACTGACTTTAAAAGTCCAGTTCCCACCCTGCCGAACTAGGCTAGAATTCATGGGCTCTATCGTAGCGCCACGAGTGGCTATTACGAGTTATGTCCCTTCTGAGCCTCTCCTTTAGACCAATCAGATTCCACCTCTCGTATCACTCGCATTTGCTAGAAACAAAACAGTGGCGCCCAGTCAAGACGATCCGATCGATAATCAAGGTCTATGTTGTGATAAAACGGGTCTTACATCGCGCAATGCGTGAGAACCTTGATTAAAAACATGAAAAGATTTGGAAAATATCTGTTGACAACGGTGCGGTGCACATGCTTTGCAAATCCTGCAATCGACCGAAATCTGCAGGACAGTTTACGAACCGGATTACGATTTCGATGCACGATTTTGATTGGACTATGCATAGACTCGTTCGTCCAGCCAAAATAAAACTCCATAATACCAGCCTAGTTCGGCAAGGGTGGAAACTGGACTTTTTTAGTCATTGAACTCCCTTGCCTTTGGAAGACGGTCTCAGACGTTCACCACTTAGGTGAAACACACGAGCACGGGCATGGTGCTGACAAACCTACAAATATAATATATGAACATGAGCTATGTGTGACAAGGAAAGCGACCATGACATGATGCCTATCCCTGACATGGGAACCAAGCATATGCCACGCCGTTATCTGCAGGGAGTGCAGTTTGTTATCAACAATACATATCTTGGACGCCTAATTGTTAAGCTCAAGTCAAGTAGGTACGTATATCTTCCGTCCCATGTTCAAATACACAACATGAACATGGCATTTAGTGTTATCGGAACTTAATTCTTTACAGATAATCATCAAGTGGCGATTTCACAAGCTTGTTTGTAGGTCTTGTTAAAGATAATAAGACCAGGGTACTAGTCAATGTTTACTAAAATACTTAGTCGCTCTTTGACTGAGTATGTGATTTAGGTTTAACGCCGCTTTAAACAGTATTTCAGTTTTATCAGTGTGTCAGAGGAGGAATATATGTGGGAGGAAAGCCCGAAGTGATGCAGGTCTCAGACGTTTATCACTTTGACGAAACCCACAAGAACGAGTATGGTGCTGACAAACCTAAAAACATATTCGAGGCGAACCAGGATTCGAACCCACGATCATAGGGTTCTGCCGTATTCATAGGACGCAACTCTGCACAGCGAATTGTGGTGCCTTAGATGACTGGGCCACCCGTGTCCCGGTATGGCTTAGTTATTGCCACAGCGCCATTAAATGTTAACTTATTTCAGATACCCAGCCTCATAGCATGACTTCTAATTCTAAATTAGATCACATTTTGAATTACAATTCATGCCATTAATCGCCATTCATGCCACTGAATCCGGATTTACAACCACAAATGTATCATGCGTACGTATTGCCATTCGTGACCAACTCGTGTTATTCCGGGACAAGCCGAATAGCGACTCGTGCCCCTCTCGTGGCCATTTTTGTGACCGGGTTCCGTCTTAACGCAAACGGGCATACCTAAAACAATTGTCAACTCGTTGTGTAATGGTTCAGGTTTATTTCCCCATGTATTATATATATTTCAGATGCAATTTAAAGCACATCGGGACATGAGGAATTATACAGTATGACTGAACACATTTAACTGTGTCTTGGGTATATTTTTAGATGCAAGACATATGTAAAATCAAATATTATTTCTGAGGTATTCTTTGACGAAGAACTTGAAATCATACGCGCATTCTGATTGGTTTGTCGTATTTTCGCACATAACATTCATCGATAGGGGGACGAGTCTTCTTGCAGGTTACGAAAAGGGGCGAGTGGTGACGAATGACGTGTTGCATTTGCTTCCAGCACAATGAAAGTCCTCCTACTGGTCGTCCTTGTTGTTTCCCTGGCTATAATGGCGTCAACAGCACCTGCCAAGGGTAGGTGTGAAGGATAAAACGCCTGCCAATATCATTTTTTGACACTGACGTTTTGAATAAACACATATTTATGGAACAAGAAATGCATGATTTGTGCCATGAAGACATGCTTACCTTTCTCGATAACGTGTTGTAGGGTTTATTGGAAAGAAATAGTTCCCCAGCAACCAATGCTTGTCGTAAGAGGCGACTAAATGGATCGGGTTGTCAGCCTCGCTTGACTTGGTTGATGCATGTCATCGATCCCAATTGGATCGATGCTCATTATCTTAATCACTGGATTGTCTGGTCCAGACTCGATTATCTACAGACCACCGCCATATAGCTGGAATATTGCTGAGTGCGGCCTTTACCAACAAACTAACTAACCTACCAACCAAATCATAACATCAACCACTGTTGCATTGGAATGCTGCACAGTTTTTATACAATGAGCGGAATATATCTTAATGTGTACACTGAACTTGTGTTTTTGAACTGTCTTCATGAGAAAATAACTGAATACAATAAAAAAAACACGAAAACATGACTGATGAAATATTCATCATATATATCAGTTCTTTACTGATGGTTGATAGCTGCCCGAACTTAAAATATGGATTAATGTAATCATTCAACAAAGGCAATCTCATAAATGATAAAAGACAATTAGTAGGTCACACTTATGTCATGTAAACATTGTATAAATATGGATCCGGGAAGAGAATGCTTGTCGTAAGAGGCGACTAACAGGATCGGGTGGTCAGGCCCGCTGACTTGGTTGATGCATGTCATCGTATCCCAATTGCGTTGATCGAGACTCATGATGTCAATTACTGGATTGTCTGGTCCAGATTCGATTATTTACAGACCGCTGTCATATAGCTGGAATATTGCTGAGTGCGGCGTTAAACAAACAAAAATTATATAATTATGATTTGTGATGATATTAAGATGTGAACATTTGAAAACTATTATTGTGATAATATACACAACGTTGATTTTCACTATCTCCTGCTATACGATATCAGATCAAACGAGAAAGGACCCAATATTTGATTTGACTGTATGTTCAAGTCACTGACAACTGAAAAAAATAATTATTTTTACAGAGAGAAGTCTTTTGGGCGACATTCTTAATAAGCTCATACCTACCTCGGGATGTGCAGTCCCAATCAACTGTCTTGTGCCACCTTGTCCGTGCCTCATAGGATGACCTGATTCTGTGTTGATGCAAAGCAAATAAATATCGTAAACGATCGGGTATTCAGTGTCCATCACTCGGCTGATGTAGCGTGTCATCGTGCCCGATGTCGTTCATTGCCGCTCATGTTTTGACTCACCGGTTTTCCTGGTCAAGACTCCTTAATGTACTGTAAAACTTTTCACCATCTTGTTTGGAACAGCTTTTCATTATCTTGGTGTTTCCACGGGCTGCGATTGTCATTAAGACCAGTGAAGATCCGGGGTAGAATAGGTCTTCAGCAACCCATGCTTTCTGTATAATGCGACTATGCTTGTCGTAAAGGGCGACTAACGGGATGGGGTGGTCAGGCTCGCTGACTTGGTTGATGCATGTTATCGTATCCCAATTGCGTGGATCAATGCTCATGATGTCAATCACTTGATTGTCTGGTCCAGCCAGAATATTGCGGCGTTAAACAACAAACCAACCACTCACACTCTCTCACTCGCCCACTTACGAGTCTATGGACAATATTCATAGTCCAATCAAAATCGCGTAACGAACTAGACGCCCGGTTTGTAAACAACATGGATTCAACGTACAGACTCAGGTTGATTGCAGGATTTGCAAAGCATGTGTACCGACTTCGAGCCGACTAGACCTTGTTTGAGCCCCTTAATGCCGACGACCAGGCAGGGTAACACTTCGTTCCATCTTTCAATCTCTTTGGTATGAAGCGGCCGGGGATCGAATCCTCGATGCGCTTCTCTCCGGGTGAACGCTCTACCACAAGACCACGGTCGACGAACGAACGCTTTAAGCACAAGGCTACGCAGCTGTGATATTACTTGAACATTGCAACACGTACGCGGCATAACACCATACTAACTTACTCACCCCAAATCACTGACTTCTAGATGACACGGGGCGGTCGGGTAGCCTAGTGGTTAAAGCGTTCGCTCGTCACGCCGAAGACCCGGGTTCGATTCCCGACATGGGTATGTGGGAAGCCCATTTCTGGTGTCCCCCGCCGTGATATTGCTGGAATATTGCTAAAAGCGGCGTAAAACCATACTCACTCACTCACTCAATCTAGATGACACATGGTTCTTCAGTGTGTGTTTAAGAAAATGTTCTACTTAGAAACATGTTGCAATGAGGTGATTAGACAGCCCCATCCATCCACACAATTGGAATAATCATAAAATAATAAAACAACTATTGATACAGTGACGTGTTCGAGCTCGGCTGCTCACACACGCTTATACAATGTACATGAACCAGTCTATGTGTAAAAAACAGGTGAGACTTCAGTTCATTGCATCTTCCAGCGGCAAAGGTGTTAACTGACTTTATGAAAATAGTCCAGTTTCTACCCTTGCCGAACTAGCCTGCGATTATGGAGTTCGAGTTTGGCTGGACTAACGAGTCTTTGCATAGTCCAATCAAAACTCGCGTAACGAAATCAACATCCGGTTCGTGAAAAAACAAGGCGACTGCAATGCAGATTACGCTCTGTCATCATGTACATTGTGTTCTTCGGGATTTCTCCACTTACAATCCGTGTATTGACTATGAACGTATCTAAGTTACCTGTTTTATTCAATCGAGCCTGCGTTTCGATGAAAACATGTGATCCAATATCTAAAAAACGGTTCCATTATTAATGTGCAATTTCAAAGTCGTTTCAAAGCTTGTCTGGCGTCCAAAGTTCAAGTGCAAGTCATACGACTTGATGCAGGTATTCCACCGTGGGGTTTGTATCCCGGTGCAATCAGCCAGTTGATTCCGGTTTAAACTGGATCACGATGAAAACATAGGTGAGGAGGGTCCCGATGATCTGCGTCAACAAAAAAGCAAGGTGATGGAACTACAACTGGTTATTGGGCTGTAATGAAGCTAGGTATATTATGTTATAGGTTTCAGCAAGGAAAAGAGATGAATAAATAAATTCAACGTACCGTTAGGATCGTGTCCTTCGTGATGGTCATTAGGCCTAAAGCACTGATTCCGATCTGACGTTGGGACAACTTGTTTGCGAACAACGTGACCTGGGTGTACCGTTCGTGGGAAAAATAAGCAATTGATAAGACACTACACATTTATAAATTGACATAGATATTGTTTAATAACAACATAATAATGTAAACGTTCCAATTTAATTTAAACGTTATTTTTTTATCATAAGTAATATTCCAGCTATATGCGGTCTGTAAAATAATTGAGTCTGGACATGGCAATCCAGTGATTGATTTCATGAGCATTGATTCACGCAATTGGGATACGATGACATGCATCAACAAAGTCAGCGAGCCTGACAACTCGATCCCGTTAGTTGCCTCTTACAACAAGCATAGTCGCCTTTTATGGCAAGCATGGGTTGTTGAAGACCTATTCTACCTCGGATCTTCACGGGTCTATATAATATGTGGCTGATTAATAAAACTAATTTCAAATCTATTTATATTTGTTTGTTTGTTTAACGCCGCACTTAGCAATATTCCAGCGATATGACGGCGGTCTGTAAGTTATCGAGTCTGGACCAGGCAACCCAGTGATTGACATCATGCGCATCGATACACGCCATTGTGATACCAGGCCACGACATGCATCAACCAAGTCAGTGAACCTAACCACTCTGTTAGCAGTATGATTCCCAAGTATCAAAAGTATCTTAGAGTGCTTGAGTGAGTGAATTGTAGCTATACCAGCCCAGTCAAATAGTCCTGTCTAAACGAAACAGATTCCATTTGACGTCAAAGGCAAAGTAGCCGTGGAAATTATATGAACGGATCCCTGAAGATCAGTGATAAAACCGGGTGTCGCGAAAAGAGGAAGCATGTACTGCCCAGTCACTGACACATTTTGCATGATAACGTATGTATTTGTTGCCTGACACAGGACAGCAGTACTCCTTAATGACTGGGTATGTTTCTTTGTGATCATTAAATTGTGGTTGGTTGGTTTGTTGTTTAACGCCGCACTCAGCAGTATTCCAGCTATATGACGGCGGTCTGTAAATAATCGAGTCTGGACCAGACAATCCAGTGATTGACATCATGAGCATCGACCACCCGATCCCATTAGTCGCCTTTTACGACAAGCATAGACACATTTTACGGCAAGCATGGGTTGCTTAAGACCTGTTCTACCCCGGAATCTTCACGGGTCCGTTAAATTGTGAAGCGAAAAATCTGAACAAACTCAGTGGGTCTGAAAGAGGACGGCGGGATACAGCTAGCAAAGTCACTAACCATCAGTTTCAAACGTTAGAGGAGTTTCCTAAGAACCGGAAGACACAGTTTGCAAAGTGTGAGTTAGAGTGAGTGAGTGAGTGAGTGAGTGAGTTGGGTTTAACGCCGCTTTTAACAGTATTCCAGTTATATCGCGGCGTGTCAGCTTAATGTGGGAGGAAAGCCCGAAGTGATGCAGGTCCCAGACGTTTACCACTTCGGTGAAACCCACGAGCACGGGTATGGTGCTGACAAAGCTAGAAACATAATCGGGGCGAACCGGGATTCGAACCCACAATTATATGTTTCCGGCGTGCCCAAGGAACGCAACTCTGCACAGCGAATCGCGGCGCCTTAGACGACTGGGCCACCCGTGCCCCCAGTGTGAGTTAGAAATGACACCTGGAAACATGACATGTGTGAAGGTGTTATTGTGTGTTGCAGAAGCAAGTGAGTGTGTGAGGACGTCGGTTGTTCTGACAGGCCTAACGGGCAAGGCCATCTCAGTGAGAGTTGCTTAATATTTCATATGCATCGGGATATAGATATTATTATAGTATACATTTATATACCACACTTATCCAGATCTGTTCAAATTTGTTCCATGACCAGTAGATCCGTATGCATTTAAATCCCTATAGGACATTTACCTATTTAGCAAATGTAGGGAATACAATGAAAACGCACACATGCACGCACGTTCACACATAGAGATATTACAAAAGATTATACTAAGAACGTATTAAATGTATTAAAATAGAAACTGCATCTATTAAAAAGTAAAGATTGTTTTATCCATGTCAATATCGTATATAAGAAAGGTTAAGAAATATGAGGTATGACATTTAATACGTTCTTAGTATAATCTTTTGTAGTTGATACAGAGAATCTCAACCGAGTGTCCTTTGATATCAAATATATCAACACGAGTTGATAAAAGTGGAAAAACTCCGAGGCTTGCCGAGGATTTTTTTCAACTTTTATCAACGAGTGTTCATATATTTGATATCAAAAGACACGAGGGAGAGATTCTATTTATCATCCAACATCATTCTTCCAACTTTTTCAGTTTGTAGAAAGTAATTAGCAGTGTCTTAAGTGTAAAAGGTACTGCTAATAGCTTCAGAAGCAGAGCCATTAGTGATGTCATTTGATTGTGACGTCATGGTAACCAATGACGTCACAATGGTCTGCAAAGCATTGTGATGCAATTTCATTGCAGCGATATCTACAGTATAGATATCGCTTGATCTCACCCAAGCGATATCTCCTGTGGGAGCCAGTTTTGGATGATAAATATATATTCCAGATGAGGTTGAAGTGTTGTCTCTAAAAGAATCATCATAATGTGTTCTTACAAGTGCAATCACTCTATCTGGCATCTTTGTCCCAGCCAAGTCATGCAGAATGTTCAGAGGTCGGTGTGCCTGTATACAAACATTTCAATGACTATGTTTCAAAGTTAATTGTTATTCATAAATAAAACATTCAGACTGAGACAAAAATCGGATTACATAATACGAAGTCTAACGAAGCCACTGGTGGTTCCCAGGTAGCCCATTAGGTAAATCTTTCTGTCGTTATGCCTAAAACTGCAGTGACACATAGAACATTGCTACAAATACCAACAAAATATACTCATCCCCGTTTGTAATCCCAAAGGAAGTATTATTACTGCATTCATTAGGATTGCGACATTTTAGAATCACAATATACACTTTATTAGGGTTTGCCATATCGATAGATAACCAATGTGGGAATTATACTACCCTGTGAAACCCTGCTAATCCGATCTAGTGAGTGAGTTGGGTTTAACGCCGCTTTTAACAGTATTCCAGTTA